ATCGGAATTGTAAAAGGTTTGCCTTTATTTGTGTACATTCACAATAAAAACAAATCTTTATGCTTTTGTAAAATAAGCCTAAAGAAAAATAGGATGCCGCTTTCTAACGTTTGGTTGCCTTTCGTGCAGCACAAAAAAAAAAAATAACTCGCTGCTTCAAGGCACCAGTGATACAGTAAAGATGTTTTGTTCCAGTTTGTTAACAGGTTTAACCCTTAGAGTGATGGAGTTTGGGGTTACTGCAAGTAACAGGCCGCTTGAACCTTAAACGTTTAACTTAACCTAAACCATAAACAATGTATCGATTATCTCAGCTGGACAAAGTAGTAATTACATATTAAACGCTGACAAAGTCATTACTTTGACTCATCTGGCATCAAAATATTATTAGCCAGTCAACCCGCATGTTAACGCAAAACTTTAGCCGAATAACCTCAACATCTACAATAACACTGATCCAAATATACAGATGAACAGAACGGAAGCCAGTTATTAGACAACCAAAACAACCTTCGGAACTCTGGAATATGATTCTGAATCAACCGATTTCAGGAGATTCACTCAGCTGATATGAATCAGTTAACTGTTAGCCGGTTAGCATGCTAAAGCCCAGAATCAAGGCCTAGTCAGCATATACTCACATTTAACAGCATTTCTCACGTAAAACAATGAATAAAACCCTCGGAGCGGGTAGATTCGGGTGTGATACTCACCTATAGTGGAGATGAAGGTGGTGTTAAAGGCGTCGTCTGAAAATCGAAACAGCACGCAGGTCTTTCCCACCCCAGAATCACCAATCAAGAGCAGCTTAAAGAGCAGATCATAGGTCTTCTTCGCCATCTGAGCTCTTTATAAACACACACTGAAGAGAAACGGATAGAGACTGAGTGTGTGTTAAAGGGAAAGTGTGTGTGTGTGTTATCCGAAAACACACACCGGACAGTCTCTTCGCAGCTGACTTGTTTTGATTTCCTCTCTAGACTCTTTTTTTAAACTCCGAAGGCGATATATAAGATGTATGTTTCCTCTGAAAAGTGTGGTGTTTGGTGTTTTTAATGTCTCTTTCTTTCTATCACACTGTCGGGACAAAATGGCTCCTCCGCCCGACTCTCTTTCTTCAAACTACACCAGCGATCTGATTCAAATGAAAGATGTTCCGCTTCATCCCAGCGACGCCGAACCGCACAGATCTCGCTTGACAGCTGGATTCCGAACCGACAGTCTGTATCGGGTCCGTTTGAGGAATTTAGAAGAGGACAAACACAGAGACGACCGACCAACCGCCGTCGCCTTCGAATAGAGCCACCACGGCGACACCCTAGATTTCAGAGCCACGCCTCTCTTCCCGCCCCTACGTCAGCACCTGGCTTTGCGATTGGCCGAACGCGCCGTTTTTCAAACCTATCTCGGACGCTGATTGGACAGAGTGCCAACCGTCCGCAGACATGAGGGCATCATTGACGTAGCTTATCGGGGAGGGTGAATGCAGCTGGTGCAGCCCAGAACCTGGCCCGTAACGACACCCTACAGTCGGTTTCCGTCAGCCCGGAGCAGCAAGAGGTCCTCGCTGCTGGGTGTGGTTGGGTCACCGTCACGAATCCAGAAGTTAAGTCAAACCCCGTGATATCAGCCCGGGCGTGGCACTTTTAGAACATTTCCATATCCTCCTGAGAACTAAAAAAAAAAGTTTTGTGAATTTTGTTGTTTTTTATGTCATTACATTGGTAAGAAAAAAATGGAGAAAACATTTTTAAAAAAAAATATTTTATTCATATTTCATTCTATGTCCTTTGTAGAGGACGCCAGGACTGAGTTATTAAAAAAATAATAATAATAAATAGATATGAAATGGCATGTAGAGGCAAAAACAATGTTTTATTTTTTCAGTTTTTCAGTTTCAGGCTATTTTTAATCAAACTTTGTACAAAGATAATTCTCAACTATGTTATGAAAGATATAACAGAATGATTTGATAGGCTACTGTTGTACTTTATGGAATATGTGCGTAAAAATTGATATTCCCATTCTATACAATGTATACATTGCATCTAATTTGCATATTAATGTGTTCTTGGGGCAAACCATAATGAAAAGAGAAGTGTTATAATGGGAGTAATAACTTGGCAACATTTTTATAAGAATATCTCATATTTCATAGGAATATTGTTATAATTTATTTCCCTATTGACTTATTGTGTTTCCCCTAAATGCCTGATTAACATGATGTTTGTCCTGGTGTCCTCTACAGAAGACAAAATGATGCCTTGTTTCGTAACAAAAAGTCATATTCCAACTGAGATGTTTATTAACGACAAACAATTTTAAAATTAGCCAGATTTAAATGATAATTACAAAATATTATCATATTTCCCTAAGAGTGCTAAATTGGATCATTCTGTCAATATCAGTCATATTTAAAGACCAAGGAGTGGGAGTGTTCATGATCAAACCTCCAAACATTTGATATCTCTAAAAAAGCGCTCTTTACAGGACATCCAGACTTAAAACTAAGGCATGTGGTCTCACTAAAATAATAATGTCCTCTACAGAGGACAAAAGTCTATGCCTGGGTCCTAGGAGGATATGACAGCGCGAAAGTTATCCACTGACAATAATACTGAAATGTGGTACTGTTTTAATACCATAGTACTGTCATGGTATTTGTGCACATATGAAATGATCATGCACTTACAAAAACATCCTGATTTTACTATGTTCTTTGCTCATTTAACATGTTTTTTTTGTGTGTGTACTGTGCAGTAAAAATGCAACAGAAGAACATTTTGGGTTCCGAGAACCTTTCTTCAAACAGTTCAGTTTTGCTCAATTGCTTTGGCTCAGTAAAGTAATAATCATTTATAATTAGTTGTTTTTACACCAGTAAACTTGTGAAACAAAAAAGCACAGACAAAAAAAAAAAAATGAAATTTGTATAAAACAAGCATTTCCATTGGTTGACCACCATGGTAAAAAACAAACAAAAAAAAACAATAAACATTTTTATCAGTATGGCTCACATTGAAAAAAAAAATCATTTTGGTGGTATTGGTCAATTTACTGACAATAAGTAGTTTTTGAAGTATGAATGAAACGTTTTGGTTGAGTTGCAACATTTTGCAGACATAGAGTTGTGATGAGAAAGAACCTTTTCTTAGTGTGAAAGAATGTTAATAATTAATAATCTGAAAAACCTTTTTCCACTATAAAGAACTTTTTGTGCATTGGAAAGATGTGATGGATGGTAAAGGTTCTTATACGGAACTATCAATGTGAATAAAGAGTGAAAAGTATATGCCATGATATTACCAGCTGTATCCCAAATGAACAGAATAAATCAAAATGACCCATTTAAACCATTTCCAAACTATGGACAGACCACAAACTGTAAGAATCATCTAATTTTCTTGTTGGAATGAGTCCTGATCTCAAGTCCTGTGAGGTTTGAAGAATTCGGCTATTGTTTGTAAGTCATTGGGCAACATTTTCCCTAATGCAGCTGTAAACATGCAGAAACCTGCTGTGGCTCAGAGCTGCTGGAGGTTTTATTCCTTTATATCTGTCAGTGAGTCACTCCTGGAGCTCCATTTTCCTGTTTCCAATCTTGCCGCTCGACGCCACATGAATCTGGAATATTAGAGGAATTTCTTTGTGTTCAAATATTTCTGTTTCTATTTCATTGTGTAATCATTCTTCTCACTAAAAGTCATGTGTGAGGGGAAAAAAATACAAATAAAATGTAGTTCTTCTAGTTTCTCAGTCTCAGGGTTCTTCATATTTTGACTGTGTTTTAAGCTTTCCGACAAATTAGTTAACACACACACACACACACACAGAGTCAGCAGAGGCGTAGCTGAGGGTTGTAAGTGAATCTGCTGCTATGTGAGTCACAGTGGAGTTAAACATCTGGTTCTGTTAAATCCACCAGATGTCATTCACAGTGTTGGGGAAAGTTACTTTTAAAAGTAATGCATTACAATACTGCGTTACTCCCTAAAAAAGTAACTAATTACGTTACTTAGTTACTTTTTATGGAAAGTAATGCGTTATATTACTTTTGCGTTACTTTCACGCTACTTTTTAAATATATGCAGGGCTTGATTGTTTTTAATATAAGAAGTTCTATTTATAGCAAATATAAAAGCCCTTTCACACCAAAAAGTGTCATGAATAAACCTCAGGCTGAAGGAAATGTAAATTCACGTCTGTACAGTAGAACGCAGGAGAAGAAACACTCTTCAGCAATAAAAAAACAATGAAGCACAATTATTAGTTTCTCTAAAGTCATTTTTGCTTATTAGTATGGTTGTACTGGATCATCAAAGGTCAGCAGCAAAGATATTGGTTAATAAAATGGGATTAGATACATTTGTGTTATTTAACATATTTAATTATTGTAGGTTTGCGTCATATTCTGAGTTTGCATTTCACTGTTTTAATTCATTTTGATGAATACTAAATCTGTTTTTTGTGAGTGGGATGAATTAATGCACATTCACATTTAGTCTAGAACTACAGTAACATCATGTTCACACAGCGCACACAACGCCTCTGCACTTCCGATTTCTGTCACCATGGCAACACCAGAGCTGTCAGTCAATAAATGGGAAAACAAAGTAACTGGCGTTACTTTTTTGAAAAAGTAACTCAGATATTTTCTTGTAAATTAAAAAAGTAATGCGTTACTTTACTAGTTACTTGGGGGAAAAAGTAATCTGATTACGTAACTCGCGTTACTTGTATGCGTTACCCCCAACACTGGTCATTCAGAGTTTGAGTCACAGCATTCAAAAGCTGTTTCTATGTAAATGGCAAAAATAATTTAACGTGTCTTTGACACAATTAATTAATTTGATTTAAACTGCCATTTACACTTCATTTAACCATGCAGATAATATTAATATTATCTACCTAATTTTAAACGTAACAGAGGGCGCTGCCATGTTTAAATTGAATGTGCGAGACTTCTGGTGTTATTGGCTTCCAGTTATTTTACTTGTCCAAAAAACAGTCAAACTGGTATTTGTTATCATATAATTTTAAAGTATTATTGTAATCATAAAAACGCTGGTTTGTAGCGCAAATAGTTTTACTGTTTACTGCACATTGTTATTCTTCAAGCTATTTACCTGTAGCAGTTAATGAAACGGAAGTCTCGCACATTCATAGACAATAGCTTACTTCCGCGTTGAAAAATATTATTTTATATAATATATTTATAATATATAATATTTGCAGATTATTTTTCTATTACATTTGTTTGTATAAGCACTTTTCACAATGCATATTGTTACATATTGTGTAAAAAGAGTGCCTTATAAACACTGCAGTTACACAGCATTACATATATATTGGTTGAATACATACAGTGTTATTGCTAAACGTTTCAAGCTAAAAAAAAATATATATATATATATATATATATATAAAAAATATATAAAAAATAATATCATATATCAAGAATTTTTACTCTTACTGCTAAGTGTATCATCTTGAGAGGAAGCATCTGTAGCTGACAGCCGTCATTAGAGGCCTCACTATCAGCTAATTGTTCATTTCAGGGCAGATTGATTTCATCCAAGATGTTTCACTAAGTGCTTTGGCTTCCCTCTTGATAGATTACATGCACAAACCTCCTTCCCTCATTTGAAACCCAAGAGCTAGTCTGGTCATATTCTAGTGTCAAGCGCACTAGTTGTCTAAGCATCCTCTGTATGGGTCCTTAAAGGGATTATATGTAGCCAGGGATGAGACTCTTGATTAATAATTTATAATGGCCACTAGTGGCCGAAAATGAAACTGTATTTATTACAAGTCCACTAGATGGCACCATTGATGTACAATTAACTCCAAAGCACAAAAAGAAATCTAATTTTAATTAGCCTACTGCACACATAATTTAAGAAATAGACAACCTGTGCTCAATTAAAAAAAACTTGACTAATATACATAAAATGTTATAATAATGAAAACGTATATTCCTAGTATATTTACAGCTGTAGTCAAAGTCAGTTTTATTGTTATTTTATCTTCACAAGGGAAAAAAATTATCAGGGCTATTGCACTATATTATAGTAGGCCTAGTGTTCAGTCTTAAATATTTGGCTATATCTTTGGGCTTTCACCTTTTTAATCAGTTTTTGCACATTTTAGGCTTAAAAAGCTATAGTAAGCAGATATGATGGGCAGAAAAATATATGCAGATACAAAAAAAGGTGCGTGCTAGGTTATGAATATATGAAAACTGAACTGTCAATGAAATGAGCAATAACACAAATATTTTTTTAAAGTAAATTACATTATAAACAATATTATGGTTTTAATGTTTTTTTACATTTTTTTTTTTTTTTCATCTTTTTGTAGCCTATATTGCAATAATTTGCATTTTATCAAACACTGATCTGATCTGATCCATATTTAATCTAATTGAATCAGCATTAAACCATTTAACTTCAAATCCCAAACACCTCTGGGGCCTTTCCGCAATGATGGCACTGAAGGAAAGTGTGTGTGTGTGTGTGTGTGTTTCTATACTGGTGGGGACTTAAACTTGAATACACACCAACTCATGGGGACTTGTGTCACCGTGGGGACCTAAATTGAGGTCCCCATGGGTACAGAAGCTTATAAATCATACAGAATGAGTTTTTTTAGATTGTAAAAATGCACAAAGTTTTCTGTGAGGGGTAGGTTTAGGTGTATGGTAGGTGTAGGGCGATAGAAAATACAGTTTGTACAGTATAAAAACCATTAGCCTATGATGAGTCCCCACAAGGATAGTGAACCAGACTGTGTGTGTGTGTCTGTGTGTTACCGTGTTGCCATGTTTGCCCTTTTTAAACTATTTTGCCCTTGATTTTCATAAACTGGTTTATAAATATGAGTAGTTGCTATTTTCTAGACATATAAACTTTTTTTTTCTAATAGTTTAAAATTATTTAAGGAAGATTATGTGTATAAGATACAGAAACTATTATAATGCATGTCATCATTTTGTTCTAAAAATGTAATTAAATTTTTAACACATTTTACTTTGTTCACTGGGTCTATTATTTTATTAAATAGCCTAGGTATCTGTTTAATAACCATGGTAATTTCTCTTAGCAAACAGACATTTTTCAAATTTTAAGTAAAGAACTGAGATATGAAATTTCTGTAATTGCCTAGCAGAGCCATAATTGCTTAAAAATCCCCATCTGTATATTTCAGACTGCTTGTTTCTCTTGCCAAATCTGGCAACCTTGATGTGTGTGTGTGTGTGTGTTTGGGCAGGGCTGCAGTGAAGCGCAGCTGATGTGTGTGATTCTCTGTCAGACGGATCTTCTTGTGTTTCGGTGGAAATCGGTGAGATATTCTGAGCTTATGATTTCATCCATATGTGTTCATGACGGAGCCGCCTTTATCTTTTATTCATTTGTGGAGACCGCAGAGATTTGCACCGGGACTGACATTATGCGCTCGGTAACCGGGTGATGCTGATGCTGACATCTTCCATCATCCATCTGCTTTAACGGGAATACTGCGCTCGTTCATTATCCATTCATCTCGTAGACGGATTCAACATGTCCATGAAAGCCAAAAACGGCGAGGCGGTGAAGGTGGTGGTTCGGTGTCGCCCGCTCAACCGTAAAGAGGAATCGATGGGGTATGAGCATATCGTGCAGATGGATGTGAAACTGGGCCAGGTGGCCCTGCGGAACCCCAAGGCGGGTCCGGGAGAGCTGCTCAAGACCTTCACGTTCGATGCGGTTTACGACGCTTGTTCCAAACAGAGCGACCTGTACGACGAGACGGTCCGGCCGCTCATCGACTCGGTTCTGCGCGGCTTCAACGGCACCATCTTCGCGTACGGACAGACGGGAACCGGGAAGACGTACACCATGCAAGGCCAGTGGCTGGACGCCGAGCGCCGCGGCATCATCCCGAACTCGTTCGAGCACATCTTCACGCACATCTCGCGCTCTCAGAACCAGCAGTACCTGGTCCGGGCCTCTTATTTGGAGATCTACCAGGAGGAGGTCCGCGACCTGCTCACCAAAGACCACAGCAAGAAGCTGGAGCTGAAGGAGAGCGCCGACTCAGGGGTCTACATCAAAGATCTGTCCTCCTTCGTCACCAAGAACGTGAAGGAGATCGAGCACGTGATGAACGTGGGGAACCAGACCAGATCGGTGGGCTTCACCAACATGAACGAGCACAGCTCGAGGTCGCACGCCATCTTCATCATCACGGTAGAGTGCAGCCAGCTTGGGCCAGACGGACAGAACCACATCCGCGTTGGCAAACTCAACCTGGTTGACCTGGCGGGCAGCGAGCGACAGACCAAGACTGGCGTCCAAGGAGAACGTCTGAAGGAGGCCACCAAGATCAACCTGTCCCTCTCCGCTCTGGGAAATGTAATCTCTGCGTTGGTGGACGGGCGAAGTTCTCACGTTCCCTACCGTGACTCTAAACTCACGCGGTTGCTTCAGGACTCATTGGGCGGGAACGCCAAGACCATCATGGTGGCCACTTTGGGACCGGCCTTCTACAATTACGAGGAGACCCTGACCACCCTGCGTTACGCCAACCGCGCCAAGAACATCAAGAACAAGCCTCGTGTCAACGAAGACCCCAAAGACGCCCTCCTGAGGGAGTTCCAGGAGGAGATCGCCCGGCTGAAAGCGCAGCTGGATAAACGCGGCATGCTCACCAAGAGGAAGAGGAGGAGCAGGAGCCTGAGGAAGACCGGAGAAGGAGGAGAGGAAGAGGTAGAGGAGGAGGATGTTGAAGATGATGATGAAGAAAGCGTGGAGAAGGAGGCGCAGGAGTACATGAAGGAGCAGCAGGAGAAGCTGGAGAGAGAGAAGGAGGCCATCAGAGATGATCATTCTCTGGTGGCGGAGGAGAAACAGAGACTCCTGGAAGAGAAAGAGAGGATGATGAGACATCTGACGAAGGAGCAGGAGGCCACAGAACTCCTCACAGCCAAGTTTAAGGTGAGTATGCTTGAAGATTGTGTGAGTTAAGATTGTGTGCATATACACTATTTTTAGACTATAATACCTATACTATTTTTATAAACTATTGTAATGTGCAAAACTATTTTTTAATTATTTTTTTGTAATAAACATTAACTGAAATAAAATAAAAAATATTTTACATTTAATTTATTATTTAATTTACTTATTAAATTATTAAAACTTATTTAATTTCAGCTAGTTTCCAAAGCAATATTTCTCAGAAATAAAATTATTAAAATATTAAAAATAAAATTCAATATATTTAAATACATTTGTTATATATATATTTTTTTATTTTTTTTCAGTGAATATCTACGAAAATGTACAGTAATAACAGAGTGTCTAGGAATTTTATGCATACAGAATATTTGCATACTATACGTGCTGCACACATAGTATTAGTAGTATGGTGTCATTCCATACTTTGCTCATGACTCAGTTTTTGTCCCAGATTCATTGTGTTGCTGGAGTGAATTGAGCGTTTAATTGTGAAGTCCCAGCGCTCATGTGCCTGTTTTACCTGTGGAACAGACTAAACCACTTCACACACTTCTAGCCTTTAATGTCTGTTTACACAACTGTTTTCTAGTTTAATTGTGCTGGCATTTAAGACAGACAGACAGACAGGAAGAAACAATTATATAGTGTCTTTTGGATTTGTTTGTGTGTGTGACTGTATTTGGAGTAGCATAGTATAATATTGTATAATACTAGTATAATCATACTGTTTTTACAATGTGTTGAACGTATACCAGTGTAGTTATTGTTAACAAAAACCAAAACTATTAAAACCCATTTTATTAATTCAATAAACTTGAAATAAAATAGAATATAAATACTGGATGGAAAAACTAAACTGTTGCTTTGGCAGCTAACTTAAGTAAATGATCTGAAGTACTAAAATTACTGAAATAAGAACAAGTTAAAGCTAAATATAAATACTAATAAAAATTACAAAAGCACATAAAATTACTCAAACTTAAATTAAAACTCATTTTAAAATGAAAACTGAAAATATAAAAATAAAAACTAACTTAAAATATTATTAAATGCTATAACATTATGTAAACAACACTGAAATAAAAGATTAATATTGTATATTTGTATACATACAATCTCTAAATAATTTAAAGTACTAAAATTAATCAAACTAAAAAGCTTAAAGTTAATTAAAGCTAAATAGAAATATAAAAAATAATAAAAATGATGAGCATATAACACAACTACTAAAAGGTGTATTAAAACTAATATTAAAATTAAAACTGAAAATACAAAACTACAAACTGATTTATACTGTATTTTTGTATTCATGGAATCCCCAGATTATGAATTAAAAATGCAAAACAGCCATTTTGTAACCATTATAACTGAACGCCACTTGCTGAATTAAACATTCATCATAATTGTTTCACAATATTGTTATATAATGTATGTTAGTGTTCAATTCCAAATGTAGCCTGTACGTGCTGACAGTAAACTCAGTCATTGGCCTTCTTCCAGCATGCTTTGCTTAAATATTGATGTGTCAACGTTTATGTGCAGGTGGGCGGAGCTTGTGTTCGGAGCTCCTGGCCAATGAATTCCTCAGCAGTGTGAATAGATAATGAGCCAGACTGGTCCTGAGCTCTGTTGCCATGGTGATGGGAATGTGGGGGGTCTGGATGGAAAGGTCTCTGTTAAACGAGAGCATCCTTGCTGCTGAGTGTGTGTGTGTGTGTGTGTGTGTATGTGTGTGTGAGTTTGATGACGGAGCGTCCTGCTGACGCTTCCCCAGAGGCCCGCGTCTATATTAAACCATCTCTCTGTTTCTCTCTCTCTCTCTCTTCTGTATCTTGTTTCCATCACGACTGTCACAGTATACTGTATACCATATAAAAGCAGTCAAAATATTACTCAAACCTCAGGACGTGAGTGTGTAAAGAGTTTAGAAATATTTTATTTACATTTTTTATGTAGTTCTATGTTTTATATATAATTACTAACATTACTACTTTGGTACCAATAAAAATAAAATTAAATAGAAATAATAATAATAAGCTAAAAAATATGACTAAGAATAAAATATAAAATAAAAATATTAAAAAAAGCTAATTCAAAATATTAATGACTTCATTTTGAGACCTGGGTGTGTAAAGGGTTTTGCACCATTTTATTTAAATTTCTTTTTTTGTATTTTAATAAATTTTAATTGTTGATTATTAAACTAGAAATAAAAAGTAAATAAATGTTAAATAGTAGTATTTAAAATAAAATTTAAAAATGACAAAAGCACATAAAATGACTAAAACTAAAATTATATATATATATATATATATATATAAAGCTAATTCAAAATATGAGTTACTTTTGTCCGAGTGTCTAAATGGTTTAGCACCATTCTATTTAATTTAGCACCACATTTTTTAATTTTTTTATTTTTTAATTTGTGAATTAAATGTATTATGTTTTAATTGTTTTGATACCGACATTACTAAAACTAAAAGTTAAATTGAAATGTTTAAAACAAAAACAATAAAAAAAGACAAAACGCAAATAACAAAAAAAATATTTAAAAAATATAAAAAAAGCTCATTCAACACATTAATTACTGACATTTTATTATGTAATATAATTTAATATATTTGAATTGTTTTTGTTGGAAAGAAAAAATTGTAGCAGGCCACATTAAACTGCATTAGGACCAGTTAGGTGCATTGGGCCGAATGTTACATCACCTAATTAATATTCATAACCATGATGATAAGGTTATAATACATATATATATAGTTTAACTGCTTTGGTTTTTTCTATTTTAATTGTTTCTGTTGGTCACATTGCAAGGTAAAACTGCTTTAAGACCAGTTACGTCACCTAATTGATATTCATGACCATGCTGATAAGGTTTGTACTTGTCTCCGCCCCTCTGTTTGGCTGTACATTAACCCCGAGAAGGTTTTGGTTTCATCCCATGGGACAAAAAGCCCTTTCTCTCCATCTTTCCATATCTCTGCGTTATCTCTCCTCCCATTCCATCCGTTCCAGTCCCGTGATCACAGAGAGAGACAGAGAGAGATGGATTGTGTGTAAATCAGAGGGACGTGTGGTGTGAAGTCTGATGGGTTCTGACAGGGTGTTTTGGATGTTATGAGCTGGTCTGACGGGCCGTGCGGGTCAGCTGTAGTTCTGGGCTGAGGCTTTGTTCTTGTTTCTGTTGTGGCCCTTTGACAATAATCTTTGTGTGTCGCTAAAGCCGCGAGCTGCTGCCGTCCACAAAGAGAGCCCGGTGTGTCGAGTGGGGGAGGAGATTCACAGAGCTGATTTTCATCATGCCTTCCAAAAGGTCGCTGACACTCACAGCTATTTATAGCGAGAAAGAAACCAGAAGTCGTCCGTTTTCAATGAGAGTTTGTGATTTCAGGCTACTCGAGTGACAGCAATCCTTTGCGATGCGACAAAATTAAGCCGTTTTCTATTTGTGCAGCATCGCACTGGGAAGCCCCGCCCACAACGAAATCTCATTGGTTCAAATTTCCACTGCACTTTAATTGAAAATATTTTTTTATATTATACTCTACTGTTCAAAGGTTTGGGGTCGGTAAAGTTTGTTTATCAAAAACAATTACTTTTAATTATATTTTTAATTGTTTTGGTACCAACATTACTAAAACAAAAAAACGAATGAAATACAAATATTTAAAAAAACAAAAACTGAAACAAATGACCAGCACATAACAAAATGACTAAAGTTAAAATGAAAACTATATATACTGTATATATGGCCAGGCATAAGCACAGTTTCTTCCCTCAGGCAAACTAAAACTAAAAAAAATGACAAAAGCACATAACAAAATGCCTAAACATTTTGAACAGTAGTGTATATAAAAAGAAAAATGAAATGTCTATAGCTTTATTTAAAAGCAGCTGAACTATCCTAATGAGTGTGACCTCTACATGTGATCCGCTGCTGATGTTGATGGTTTGTTGTGGTTGCTAGGCAATGGAGAGCAAGCTGCTGGTTGGTGGGAAGAACATTATTGATCACACTAATGAGCAACAGAAGATGCTTGAACAGAAAAGACATGAGATTGCAGAACAGGTAACACACACTGTTTTAATGTTTGCAATATTTCCAAGAAAAAAACATAGTCTTATATTCGGGTCAATACGGTACTAGTGACACAAAAAACACACTTCACCTTCAGCATCCATATGGCATTCTGTGCTGCTCGTGTACAACACATAACTGAGTGTGTGAATCTGTGTGTGTTTGCAGACACGCAGAGAGAGAGAAATACAGCAGCAAATGTTGGCTCAGGATGAGGAAACACTAGAACTCAGAGAAACATTCTCCTCACTGCAACAAGAAGTGGAAGCAAAGACTAAGAAACTCAAAAAGGTGAGATACACACACACACACACACATCCCTGAAGAGAGGTGAACCGTGGCGATGGCGTCACATTCAGAGGTTGCTAATGAAGAGAACGTCCCTGTTTTGAGACCAGTGGTTCCCAATATTAAGTAATTCTGAAACTTTGTCTCTTTTGATAATTTTTTCTTTTTATTTGGAACTTGATGGATGCAAAGCAAAAGATTAATGACAAATGAATGTCCCATATTGTATTTTCACAATCCACCATGTTGATTTATTGCTTACACATGTAAAAAAAATCTAATCTAAACTGGTTTTCCTCACAAATAAATAGATAAGGCGGCATAAATGCTATATATACAGTGTATATATATATATATATATATAAAACCTCCTGAGACCCAGCTATGGAGTTTTTGCCTCTGTAGTGGATATTATATTTTAGTGAATTTCTCTGAGACCTCACATGTCACAGTTTTATGTCTGGATGTCCTGTACAGAGCACATTCAGGGCTTTCCAGAGATACCAAATGATTGGATGTTTCACCATCACCACTCCCTCTCCTTGGTTTTTAAAAATGGCTGACATTAATTTAGTGATAAAATTGTACATCCTTATGGAAATATGATAATATTTTGTAATTATAATTTAAATCTGATTAATTTTCAAATTGTTTGTCATAAATCAACATCTCAGGAAAATGTTATGGGGTTTCAAATCAAAATATGACTTCCTGTTATGAAACACTGTAGAGGACACCAGGACTAAAAGCATGTTTATTATACATTTTGGGAGACAAAAGAATTGAATAGGAAAACAAATTATATATCAATATTCTTATGAAATATTAGATATTATTATGAAAATCTGGCCAATTACTACTCCCATTATTACACTTTTTTTTTCAACATGCTGTCCCAACAGCACTTTAATATGCAAATTAGATACAGTGTATAGATAACTTTGTGCTTAATGGGAAAACCAGTTTATGGGATTTTTAAACACATATTGCATAAAGCAAAATGGTATATCAAATCCTTTTGTTATATATTTTATAACATAGTTGAGAACCATCCTTAAACAAAGTTACTTATAAAAAAATCCTGAAATCCTGATTTAAAAAAAATTCCCATTGTTTTTGCCTTTTCATGTCTACTCTTGTCATTTTATTTTTAGAAAAACTGAGTCCTGGTGTCCTCTACAGAGGACATAGCATAACTTATGAATAAAATATCATTTTTCAAAAATTTTATTTTACCATTTTTTTCTTATGCTCTAAACAATGTAATGACATGAAAAAATACTAAATTCACAAAGCTTTTTATTTCTGGTTCTCAGGAGGATAGATATATATATATATATATACATACAACTGACACATCATTTGTTTCATCAATATTAAGTGCATTATGTTGATGCTTTTATTTCCATAGATGACCTTTCAGACTTATGCTTGGCATGTGGGGACAAATATCCATCCACACAAGATACACAGGACTCTTGGGTCTGTCAATCAGCAATTGCTCTTTGAATGTTCTTTGAATTTTGCTTTACATGCAAACATGCTATAATGTTATTGTTTTGTTCAGATTCAATGTGAGTGCTGTAATGGGTGGTTTCACTGGGAATGTGTTAACCAACCCAATATAAAAGATGTTTTTGTTTGTCCTGGATGCCAAGGCCAAAAACTTTTGACTGGTAGTGTAGGCTGATTATTCTTATAGATTGAAACAAATGTGCTTCAGCCAGAAAAAAGGCCAAAAATGAAATGAAAATGCCATCGAAACTTTTCTGAAGACAGTCAATTCCCTTCAGAGATAGATTCATATAAAACACCCGCGCCGTGTTATGATTTTGAAACGTGCAGTGCTCATGTTTATTCAACGAAGTCAAACGGCACAAATAAATCAATGTATGGGAAACTGGTAATGTATATCGAAATATCGGAAATGTGTTTAAAAATCATATCACCGTTATTGAAAAAAATTATATCGCGATACATATTGATATTGAATTTTTGTCCAGCCCAATTTCAACATTGATAATAAAAAGAAATTTTTCTTGAGCAGCAAACCAGCATATTAGAATGATTTCTGAAGGATCATGTGACACTGAAGACTGGAGTAATGATGCTGAAAATTCAGCTTTGCATCACAGGAATAAATTACATTTTACAATATATTCACATAGAAAACAGTTATTTTAATTTGTAATAATATTTCTATAATAATACTAATTTTACTGTATTGTTGATCAAATAAATGCAGCCTTGGTGAGCAGAAGAGACTTCTTTCAGAAACATTCAATCTTACCAACATCAAACCTCAGACTCATTTGAATGACACTTTAACAACCACTAAATAGACTGATAATATATATAAATGTAACAGCTCTGAGTTCCCTGACTCCTGTTCCTCTTGCTCCCCCTTAATTCTGGGCCTTTGACATTTGACCCCTGGATCACCCCTGCCCCCACTCCCTGTGAAAATAAAACACCTTTTATCAGTACAAGAAGGTTAGTTTGTTTTACACTTGCTCGGTCGCAGACTGTCAGAAGCTACGAGGCTAATGCTAAATGCTAGTCTTGGCATTAAAGCGTTATGAAAAGCACAAACGCTTTCACAGCAACTAATTCTAGCCAACCTGCATTAATCTTCATGTTTACTGTTAGCATGCTAACCACCAAAACCCTCTTCCTCAAGCTCTGATGACTTCAGAGATTCATTCTCAATAGTAGACAGGCAAAACAGGACTGAGCTCCACCGTTCCCACATTAATCTGCACGCCACTTCCTGCCAGAACACATCACTTCCTGTTGGATTCTGAGTGTGGAATAACTGCTATGATGTTCAGATGAAACACAACCAGCTGCCTGAAAGTCCTGTAAAGCCTTTACATGCTCCTTCCTGACCTTCACCTTTAACCCCTGCTGACCTCTCACACTAACACTGACCGAGCACTGCTTACAGCATGAGAGTGATGATGGAGGATGGATGAAGATGATGAAGGGTGGATGGATGATGATGATGATGAAGGATGGATGGATGGATGATGATGATGGTGAAGATGAAGGATGGATAGATGATGGAAAATGGATGATGATGATGGTGATGAAGATGAAGGATGGATGAATGACGTTGATGAGGGATGGATGACGAAGATGAAAGATGAATGGATTGATGATGAAGGATGATGATGAAGGATGATGATGATGGTGAAGAAGATGATGAAGGATGGATAATGATGATGAAGGATGGATGTTGATGATGATGATGGATGATGAAGTATGAATGGATGAAGGTGACGATGATGAAGATGAAGGATGATGGATGAATGATGATGAAGGATGGAAGTTGATGATGATGATGGATGATGAAGTATGAATGGATGAAGGTGACGATGATGAAGATGAAGGATGATGATGAAGGATGGATGATGATGATCATGGATGATGAAGTATGGATGGATGAAGGTGACGATGATGAAGGAGAAGGATGATGGATAAATGATGGTGAAGGATGGATGATGATGATGATGGATGATGAGATGATGAAGGATGGATGATGATGATGATGGATGATGAAGTATGGATGGATGAAGGTGACAATGATGAAGATGAAGGATGGATGGATGATGATGAAGGATGGATGATGATGATGGATGGATGATGATGATGATGATGAAGATGAAGGATGATGGATAAATGATGATGAAGGATGGATGGATGATGATGATGATGGATGGATGATGGTGAAGGATGGACGATGATGATGATGGATGATGAAGTATGGATGGATGAAGGTGACAATGATGAAGATGAAGGATGATGGATAGATGATGAAGGATGGATGATGATGATGATGATGGATGCATGAAGGTGACGATGATGAAGATGAAGGATGATGGATAAATGATGGTGAAGGATGGATGATGATGATGATGGATGATGAATGGTGATGAAGAATGGATGATGATGGTGAAGGATGGATAATGGTGATGAAGGTGATGATGAAGATATAAGATGGACGGATGATGAAGGATGGATGGATGATGGTGAAGAAGATGAAGGATGGATGGATTTTGATGATGAAGGATGGATGGATGATGGTGATGATGAAGATATAAGATGGACGGAGGATGAAGGATGATGGATGAATGATGATGAAGGATGGATGGATGATGATGAAGGATGGATGATGATGATGAATGGATGAAGGTAACGATGATGAAGAAGGATGATGGATAAATGATGATGAAGGATGGATGGATGATGGTGAAGGATGGATGATGATGATGATGAAGTATGGATGGATGAAGGTGACGATGATGAAGATGAAGGATGATGGATGAATGATGATGAAGGATGGATGGATGATGGTGAAGGATGGATGATGATGGATGGATGAAGGTGACGATGATGATGATGAAGGATGGATGATGATGATGATGGATAGATGATGATGAAGGATGGATGATGATGATGGATGGATGAAAGTAACGATGATGAAGAAGGATGATGGATAAATGATGATGAAGGATGGATGGTGAAGGATGGATGATGATGATGATGATGGATGATGAAGTATGGATGGATGATGATGATGGATGATGAAGTATGGATGGATGAAGGTGACGATGATGAAGATGAAGGATGATGGATGAAATATGATGAAGGATGGATGGATGATGATGATGGATGATGATGATGATGGATGATGAAGTATGGATGGATGAAGGTGACAATGATGAAGATGAAGGATGATGGATAAATGATGATGAAGGATGGATGATGATGATGATGATGGATGGATGGATGAAGGTGACGATGATGAAGATGAAGGATGATGGATGAATGATGGTGAAGGATGGATGATGATGATGATGGATGATGAAGTATGGATGGATGAAGGTGAC